ATTGGCTTTCCGTGGATGAGCCCAGTGCAGTGCTGGAAGAATGCAGCTCCAGGGCACAGCCCTGCTGGGAGCAACTCATCACCCAGAAAAAGGTGTCATTACAACCCTACAAAGTGAGGCAGGTAATCACTGTCAATGCAGAGAGATCCTATCTCACCCACAGCCTCCTCTGGCACCCTGAGATTGCCTCACCCTGTCCTGTTCTCCTCTGTGGTCAGTTCTAGAAAGTGGAACCCCTTCAGAGATGACAACTGAAGCAGAGCCACTGCAGTTGTGCTACAAGGCACCAACAGCCCCGTCCCACCACCTGCAGACACCTGGATGAGACCATAAAGCCCCTCCAGTGCCACCCCTGCCATGGGCAGGGACACCTCCCACTAGCCCAGTTCCCCTATTACTTGAGTCTGATGGAGAGAGAGCAGAGCAGGAGCTGAGCCCTCACCAAGGTGTCCTCAGAGATTTCCAACATGCAGATCACACGGCTCTAGCAGTGGGATGGAGGCTCTCCAGACAGGATCCAGCACATCTGCTGGGCCTTTGTGCACCATCCCCACTCCCTCACCCTTCTCTGCACCAGTCCCAGCTGGTATCTCACTGCCAGGGGAGCTCCCCTTGTCTCCCAGAGCACTGGTAAAACGGGGCTGGGAGCCCCCCAGGATCACCCCAGTTCAGACTGTTAAGGCATGAACAAATCAGAAAAAGAATCCTGAGTCAAGCTCGTTCCAAATGTTTCAAAACTCATTTTATTTTCCTCTTGTAACAACAAACACCCACTGAGGGGGAGGGAAAGAGGAGGGGATTACTTGAAAGCAGCCAGAGGGTGAAGCACTGCTGCTGTTAGCACAGGACTGGTGTGAGCACCTCGAACATCCACCACGTGTGGGTGGAGAGCTGCTGTGCAGAGGGACCTGGAGCTGCTGGTTGGCAGCAGAGAGCAGAGTGCCCGGGGGAAAACCTCACCCTGGGCTGCACCAAACACAGCACGACCAGCTGGGCAGTTCTGTGCCCCGAGCTGCTTTAGCCTCGGGTGCTCTTTCCGAAATTTCTCTGCGCTCCAGCTGGCTGCTGTTTGGTCGTGCAGGCACTGAGGTCTTGGAGCGACCCTTGTCCCTGGGATGGTGCTCTCTGAAGGAAATGGGGACGCCTGGGCAGCAGAGGGTGCTGTGAAAGTGCTGGCGAGGGAGATGATCTCCTGCCCAAACCCCTCATGGAAGGTGTAGTGGTTTGACATATTAAAAAAAAAAACAACAACAAAACCACACAATTGTCCACCTCTCCTTGAGCATGAGGTGGTTCTTTAGCCTGGCCACGGCCGCTCAGGGCAGGAGCTCTGTGGGGATGGAGCTCTCTCTGCTGGGAGGATGGGAGAGGGCAGCCTGTCTGGGTCCAGCCCTGCCACCATCCGTGCTGGGGACAGTGACACCAGCATTTATGTCTGTGCTGCTTTGTCGGGGTGGGAGGGGTGTTTTAGTTGCCATGGTGTAATTTCAGGCCCTGTGAGGTTGTCCCTGATGGGCGCCAAGGTTGGACCACAGACTCGCAGAGGCTGCTGCCAGTCAGCATCACCACCATGCCCTGGCTGGCTTTGCATTTCTTCTCTCTGCAGTTGTGGAGGAGCAGCAGGGGGGAGAAACAAGCCCCTCCATAAATCCCCTGTATTTTCCAGCTGATTATAAAGGGGTTTGGTGTTCTTTGTGATGCAGAGCTGGTGAGACATTTCTTTTTGTGTGTGCATGGCTGCTGTTGAGTTTTATTTAGCGAGAAACTTGAGCTCAGGTTTTTCTGGTTTGTGTGAGTGGCGCAGAGTGTAAAGTCTGTTACTGAAAAAAAAGCCCCACCCAACCCCAAAAACCCCAGGGCACTCATGCCTTTGGTCTGCTTTCCTCCTTTGTCACCAGGGGGAGAAGCAAAGTTCTGTGCAGCCTGTGCTGAGCTCTGTCCCTACCTTATCATTTTACTGCTCCCATGACTAAACCCCTCCCAACCCTCCCTCTGAAGCTATTTTGCAAACCACCACAGGTCACCAGCAGGGTGGAAAGAACACCTTGGCTTCAAGGAGGAGCAATTGTCCCTTGGATGCTGAGCTGAGTGGTTAAAGAGGGAGGTGTGGCCCTGGCGTGCTGCGTCCAGCCCCGGAGTTGCATCTTCCCATCCCTGTGTCCCCTCAGTGTCTCTCACCCCCTGCTTGGTGGGGGAAAGCAGGTCCTGACTCCAACTGTGATTTTCCTGATTACTGGCCATGCATGTGCTGGTTGTGCTGAAGACACAGGGCCCTGTTTGAGCTGTGCCAACAGAGACGTGGTGTCTGAGCGGGTGGTGCTCGTGTTTGGGAGCCCACCCTTGGGTGGACAGGTCACCACAGGGAGGTGACACCCATCACACGTGTCCTGGGTGCTCTCAGGGCACAGGCAGTAGCATTTCACCCCGGAACAGCAAAGCAAAGCCCGCGAGGTGCTCACAGGGAGGACGTGCCAAGAGGGACTCGTGCCCGTATGTGGCTGCCCTGGCTGAGAGGAGAAGTTGAGTGGTTTTCTGGATCTGCCAGGCAACCTGCTGAAATGCATCTGAGCCTGCCCAGCCAGTGGATACCCGCCTTGGCAGGGAATATGCCCTTGGCAGGGGGAATATGCAACTGGGTCTGGTTGAGCAAACGCAGCTGCCCCAGCCTCTCCTTGCACACCTTGGCTTCCACCCACCATCTCTGGCCTCACTCTGATGTGGGGGTGTCTCTCTAGTCCCTGGGAACCCAGTACTGGGTTCTGCATTGTGATTTAGCCTCCCCAGTGCCAAGCACAGGGAATAATCCCCTCCCAGGGCTTGCATGTGCAACACATCTGCTCTGGCTTGAGGGGAGCCAGAGGGCCAGCTATGGAATCATTCCCACCCCCGGGAAGTGGCCAGGCCTGTCCAGGAGGAGAGGTTAAGGAGGTGGGGCAGGGGCTGGAGAAACAAGGGGGGTAGGCGTAGGGAGGGCTGTGGGCTCACAGCTTGTCCAGGGAGGCACCGAGGGCACCGGGAATCTCTGGAGAGGGGTGAGACCAAGGAGCGAGGAAGGAGCGAGGAAGGCTCGTCAGACTTTCTGCAATCACTGCGGCAGGGGAAGGTGAGCCTGGAGGCCAGGAGCTGCTTGTGAGGACACAGGGACCAAAGGCAGACCTGGTCTAACTCCTCTGTGCCCGCTGCCCTTGTGGGGAGTGCCCCTGCCTGCATCCTGCTGGGAACTGGCCTTGCTGCACCTGGAGCATTCTGGGGAGCTCCTGCAAGGAGAAGATCTGTGCAGGTCCATCTGCAGAGCTCTGTGCATCTCAGCAGCCTCCTGTCTGTGCCTGCTGTGGTGCCAGCAGGTGACAGTGGGGATGGTGTGTGAGCACTGCAGAGAACCGCAGCCCGAAGGTCATGAGCTGGGCTAGGGAGGGGAAGGCTTTGGGGAGCATCCCCACGGCTTCTACGGGCTCCAGGGTGGTGGGAAGGAGCAGCCTCCAGGGTTTTGCTAGGTTAGACCTGGGGGTGTTGCTAGATGGGTGTTGGATGGCCAGGCTGTGGTGGCAGGGAAGGCGAGGGGTTGGTTCTTGTATCTGCTGGCGGAGGCTGTCCCTGATGCTGGAAGTGGTGATGGATCAGCAGCTCTGGGTTGGGATCCAGGTGTTCTGGGGTGCCTTGAACAACAACCAAAAATGCAAGAGCTCTTTCTAGCCCATCTTCATGCAGTGGGCCAGGTAATTCCCAAGCCTGGTCTCTTCTCCTTTTGCTGATCCTGCTGTCTGCCCTGGAGGGAGCCACGCAACTGTTGGCTCCTGCTGATGGTTCTCAAATACAGTTTTCCCTGTAGTGCCACTTTTTGTTCCCGCAACAAAAGGAGAGGCCTTTGGACCTGGTGGTCAGCATTTTACCAGGACAGATGGGTTGTAATAATTGCTGGACCAGTGGGTTACTGGAAGGGACCTCCCTGCCCTGCCCAGACTTCTGGAGACCCCAGAAAGTTGGGCTTTGGGCTGAAGCACAGCCAGTGTCACCCCCTCCAGCTGTGGGAGGGCTGTGGGACAGGTGATGTGCCGGAGGGGAGCAAGTCCCAGGGGTGTCAGCACTGCTGCTGGGACTCTGTGCTTACACAAGCTCTTGCAAATCTTCCTCCTGAGTCAGCACGGGAGCTGGGCCATGGGCAGGAGGAGTGACTGAGGAGCGATGCCAAACGTGGGGCTCAGCGCTGTGGTTTGTCTACAGGATCACAGAACAATCTGTCCTCTCCTTCCTTCAACCATCACAGCAGTGGAATCCCAGGATATCCTCACCTGTACATGGAGATGTAGGCACTGAGATGTTGATGGTGGACTTGAACACAGAGCAAAACTTGAGTTGGCACTTTGTTTTCCTGTGTCATAGTGAGATTTTTTTTCCGTGCCCCACATGCAGTGGGTAGGTTGTTGCCATTTTGCTGAGCAACCCAGGAAAAGCTTTCCATGCTGTAAGGACGCTGGGAAAATGAGCCCAGACAACTCCTCTGGGAGGGGAAGAGTTATCTTTAGCTCCTGGAACAGCATCGTCAGGGAAATGGACTTTGCTGGATGTGTCCTGAAGTCTGGAACCCCTTGGGCTGGTGTGCTGGGGATGGCAGGGCACACCAGGAGCACGTGGCAACGAGCTGTAAACCACCCAGGGCAGGGATGGAGCAGGGAAGCTCCGGCAGAATGGAGCTCTGACACAACCCCTCCCCGCTTGAGGGACAATGCTTCCCCTGAAATGCATCCCCTGAAAGCACCCCTGTGCTTTTCCCAGCACAGGGAGGCTACTTGTCCCACACTGCAGTTGCAGCTGGACTAGGTGGGAACGGTCAGCAAGAGGCTCGGAATGGGTTCCTAACTGCACAGAGGGTTGGAAACATCTGCTCCTCGTTGCAGCACGGGGCTGCTGGATGCTGGAGCTGCACAGAGTTCCCTCGTGCTGCCAGTGCCCCCCCTGCTCATGCCAACCCCATCGTCCCCCAGGTGCTGCGGAGAGGGGAGATGTGGCTGCTGCTGGTGGCCCTATGCCTGCCCCAGGGCCTGGGCAGTGCCATCCCCATCGCTGAAGAACTACGCAACCCCGAGAGGTTCATGAACATCGTAAGTGCTGGGAGGGCAAACACACCCCTGCGGAACCCAGGCTTCCCCAAAGTCCTTCCTGAGGGACCAGCAGGGCTCACCCCATCCCTGTTCCTGACATCTGGGGATCTGGGGGCATCAAAAGTGTCCCGTATTTGCATGGGTGTCACTCACTTCACGCCCTCAGCGTGAGCTTGGTCTCTCCCTGCTCTTCCTTTAGTGCAGAGGGACCTTCAGACGGTGGGTGGCCGGAGTGGGTCAAGCTGAGGTCAGGCATGGGATGGTGGCTCACCCTCTCCCCTTGCACCATTGTCCCTGCAGAGCCAGAAGATCCGTTTCCAGGGCTATCCCAGCGAGGAGTACGAGGTGACAACAGAGGATGGCTACATCCTCAGCCTCAACAGGATCCCCCACGGCAGAGGGGGCGCTGGGCACTCAGGTGGGCACTGGGGGTGAAGCAGCTGTGACCCTGCCAGAGATGAGGCAGCGTGCAAGGGGAGCCAGTGGGAATGCCCCTGCCTTCACATGGGGTTTTGGCAGCTGGAAGAGGCACGAGAAGTGTTTGCCCAGCTGCTCTGAGCTGTCCCTTGGGATGCAGGAGCTCAGCATCCAGGATGGGGCAACGTGACCCAGTGAGCCCCAGCGCCTCCTTCCCTGCAGCAAACCCCATGTCCTGGTCCAGTGTTCCCTGACAGCTCAGGACCCGGGATGGCAAAAGCCCTTCCAACAAAATAAGCACCAGCAGAACCAGGGAAATAATGGGGTCGGGGAATGTTTAGCGTGCAGCCTGTGGAAAATAACATCAAGATGCACAGGGATGTTTCATTGCTGTATGGGAAAGGCATCTTCTTCTGTCAGCTACCTGCTACCTCCTTTTCCAGCATCCAGGACACCCGTGTTGATCGTGCATGGGTTTTCTTTGGATGGTGGTGACTGGGTGGACAATCTCCCCAACAACAGCCTGGCCTTCATCCTGGCAGACGCGGGATACGACGTCTGGATCGGGAACAACCGGGGCAACAGCTGGTCCCGCGGGCACCTGTTCCTTTCTGTCCACCAGGAGAAGTTCTGGGATTTCAGGTGAGGAGGCCACTAAGGACAGGGCTGGGATGCTGGGAGATGGGCATCTCCTCCAGCCTCTCCCCTTGCTCCCCAGCTTCCACGAGATGGCCATCTACGATCTCCCTGCCATGGTGGGCTTCATCATCATGCAAACCGAGCAGGAGAAACTCTTCTACGTGGGCCACGCTCAGGGCAGCTCCCTGGGTGAGTGAGGAGGAGGAGGGTGGGAGTGGGGCACGGGGATGCCATGGGAAAGGGGCACCAGTGCCCACCCCAAACTGGACACTGCTGGGAACAGGGCTGCACCGGCCCATGCAGCCACTTTCCCCACCTGTCTTCTTGGTCCTTCTGCACGGGAGAGGTTTGCCATGTCTTGCCTGTCTATCCTGGGCTGTGCTTACATCCAGGAGCACATTTTGTTCAGACTCTGCACCTCAAGCAGGGTGTCTGGGACGAGTTAGGGTTGCTGTTGTGATGTCTTGCTGCTTCCCAGGTTTCATAGCGTTTTCCAGCCTGCCACACCTGGGAGAGAAGATCAAACTCTTCTTTGCTCTGACTCCTGGGTACACCTTGAATCACATCAGAAGCCCTGTGTTAAAGGTAGTATTTCTACCAGATGAGGTCCTGAAGGTATGTGAGATGTTTGTGTGTTCTTACTCCCAAAATCCAGAACTTCTGGCAACTCATACCCCCTGTATTGCCACTGTGCACCGACGCCATGCCTGCGGCGGGCGTTGGAGATCCCAACATCATTCCTAACATCTCCTTGTGCTCTTGCAGCTAAGATTTGGGACCAAAGAGCTGAGCCTGGTGAGCAGGAAGGACAGAGCCCTCCTTGCTGAGAGGTGCAGCATAATTCCATTAGATGAACTCTGTGAAAATGAGATCTTCCTTGTCGGCGGGTACAACAAGGACAACTTGAACGCGGTGGGTGCATCAGGCTCTCCAGTCACAGTCACCTCCAGTTGTCCTAGACACCTGGAGATAGTTAATGAGCTGCAAAAATGAACATAAAACCCCAAAATAAGGTGTGAAAGGCAGCACTTATTTTGGAGATTTCTTGCAGTGGTGTTGGAGTGTTAAACCTAGTGGAGTCTTTGGTAAGAAAGAATCACTTATGGTCATGTCTCTAAGGGAAAGGTAACCCCTGCCTCATTTTCTGCTGACATGCAACAAGTTTACAGAAGAAAATGACCAAAAAATGACTTGATCAGTTTTATTTCCATTCTAAAGTGTTTGTTAACTGGTTTACCTTTAAAAGCCACTCCCAGCTCTTAACAGAATGAAGTTGCTAAAGAATAAAGTGCATATAAGTTTTATATTGAAGTTATAAGACAGAATGTTTGGGGTTTTTTTGCCTAGACAGATTTTCATCATTCCCAGCTCATTTAGAAAATACTCTCTTTTTCCTGCAGAGCCGACTGGATGTATACCTAGCTCATTTTCCAGACTATACATCAGTAAAAACTCTTCTCCACTGGGGACAGGTAGGGACTCTGATTTTATAACTACTGAAGCCAACGCTTTTTCCTTTAATCTGTGAGTATGATATTTTCAAATGCTGCTGGAGACAGGTAAGGAGGTAGAATCGAAGTCAATACATAAAAGGGATTTTTAAGTTGCTGCACCAAGGTGTCTCAAAAGCCACATCTGCCCAGGTGGGGCTGATTCAGGGTTAACCTTTACCTCTGCCCTCCAGACGGCCAAAACTGGGGAGTTCAAGCAGTTTGACTACGGGATCCTGAAGAACCTGGAGAAGTACCACCAGGTAAATGGGCACTTGTGGAAGGAGGAGGAGGGAAAGGGACCTGAGGGTGGAGGTTGATGGCAAGTTGGATGTGAGTCGGCAGTGCCCTGGCAGCCAGGAGGGCCAACCCTGTCCTGGGGGCATCAGGGAGGGGATTGTCCTGCTCTGCTCTGCCCTGGGGTGGCCTCACCTCAACACTGGGGCAGTTTGGGGGGACACAATGGAAGGGAGAGATTGAACCATTGGAGAGTGTCCAAAGGAGGGACATGAAGATGGTGAAGGGCTTTGAGGGGAAGCTGTGTGAGGACACTGAGGGCACTTGGTGTGTTCAGCTGGAGAAGAGGAGACTGAGGAGAGACCTCACTGCAGTTCCAGCTGCCTGGGGAGGGGCAGAGGAGGGGTAGGGACTGAGCTCTGCTCTGGGGGGACCAGGGACAGCACCCAGGGAATGGCTGGAGCTGTGTCAGGGCAGGGCCAGGTTGGATCTCAGGGAAAGGTTCTTCCCCCAGAGGCTGGTTGGGCACTGCCCAGGCTCCCCAGGGCAGTGGGCACAGCCCCAAGGCTGCCAGAGCTCCAGGAGGGTTTGGATGATCCTCTGGGGCACAGGGGGTGACTCTTGGGGATGGTCCTGTGCAGGGCTGAGGGTTGGACTGGATGATCCTTGTGGGTCCCTCCCAGCTCAGCTGATCTGTGACTCGTGCTGTTTGTGCCACAAATAACCGGCGCGTTTCCCCTCCCAGTCCCACCCACCCTTCTACAGGATCGAGGACATGACGGTGCCGGTGGCCCTGTGGAGCGGGGGGCAGGACTGGGTGAACACCCCCCGGGAGATCAATCACCTGCTCCGCCGCCTCTCCAGCGTCATCCGGCACGAGCAGTTCCCCGACTGGAACCACTTCGACTTCCACTGGGGCCTGGACGCCGCGCAGCGCCTCTACAGCCAGATGCTGTCCCTCATGGGCCAGTACTCATGAGTGCCCCGTGTGCTGCCCGTGTGCCTGAGGGCACGGGGTTGCTGCGAGGGAAGCCACGCCGCTCTTCCCTCCCTACAAATGTCTCCCATCGCCCCGTTCCGCACTGATTTAAAGCCTTAAAACGCAATGATGTGGTTTCTGCCCGCCCCCTGTGACCGTAAGGATTGCAATAAACTCTTGCATCACAGCCAAGCTCCAGCCCTTTGCTTGCTGGGCCTCGCTGGGGTGAGGGTTGCAGGAGACCTGCTTTGTTTTGTTGCGGTTTTCTTTTACCTTTTGCTGGCTCAGAGCATTGTGACCCAAAAATTTGACTCCAGGAACTGAGCGTGTGCTTTGTGTTGTGGGTTTGGGCACAGGAGGGGAGGAAAGGGACCTGGACTGTGGCTCTGGAAAGGCTGCAGGAGGTGAGTACTGACTGCAGGGAAGACACACTCCTCATAGAAGAACGAAATCAGTGAGGTCAGTGCACACCACGTGCTTGAGAGGTGGAGAAAGGGAAACATCTTGGCCTTGGTGTTGGGCTTGGTGTTTTCTGGGTGATAACCCACACAAAGCAGTGTCCCACATTGCCTCTGGGCTATGCCCTGTGGTGAAAACCCAGCTGGAAGAATTCTGAACAATTTCTTCGTGGGAAGGGTGGTCAGGCATTGGCAGGGGCTGCCCAGGGAGGTGGTGGAGTCACCTTCCCTGGGTGTCCCAGAACAGCTGGACATGGCACTGAGTGCTCTGGGCTGGGTGTCAAGGGGGGAATCAGTCACAGGTTGGACTTGGTGATCTTGAAGGGCTTTTCCAAACTAAAGGATTGAGTGATTCTGTGTTTTATAGGAAGTTGATTTTAACATGGCCCACAGTGTTACCTAAGAATAAAGCTCTGTTCTTAGCATGTATATTTGAAAAATTATCTATCTATCTATCTATCTATCTATCTATCTATCTATCTGTCTGTCTGTCTGCCTATCCCTTCACCCTCCCTCCAAGAAACATGTGCTCACCTGTGAAGTCTATCTAAGTCTAAGATAAGATAAGTTATTTAAGTCCAAGATAAGTCCAAGTCTAAGCATGGGAAGAGCACTGGCAAGGGTTGAGAACAGGATTTCATGGAGCTCAGGGCTCAGGACAACCCCACCCATGAAAGCACTGATGATTTTGATGAGGCATTCCCAAACTGCCTGCCCTTCCTCTTTAGCACCCTCCAGCTCCAGCCAAAGCCACCTGAGCGGGAACAGCAGTGGCACATGAGTGTTGAGAGCTGGGAGTCTCCAGGGGATGCAAGGGATGAGCAAAGGCAGGGGATGGAAGGGAAAGAGGCCACATGTGAGCTGGGCAGAGTTGGCAAAGGTCAGAGTAGGAGGGGACTGTCCTCACTGAGCCAAGTGGAGTTCAAAAGCCGGTGATTTACTGGTGGCAAAATGTACACGAAGAGCTCGGAGAGGTTGAGCCCTTCCTCACCTCTCAAATCCACCCAGCCATCCCTCTCCAGTCACATTGTTTCTCGCCAAGCTTTTCTTGCTCATCCTGTTCAGCTTCTTAGTGTTGAAATTAAAAAAAAAAAAAAAAAAGTCAAGACTAGAGGAGTGAATTTCAGCAACTCTGTTTACCCTGGAGGGATTAACTCCTTCATGGCTCTTTGCAACCAAAGGGATAATAATTTGTTGTTGCCTATATTTGTGCTGCATTAAACGGGGCAGGTATTGGCAGTGCCATGACTTGGGCTCACGCTCTGGGGACAGCTGACAAGGCTGGTGGCACGCAGGCAGCCCGTGTGTGTGTACTGAGCTTCACAGCACCCACGCAGCAGAACCTGGAGAAGGGTTTCTCAGAACCAGCTACATGATGTTTAATAAACAATAGGTGGAACCTGGGAGTCTCCAACAGTGTCACAATGTCAGAAGTAGTGCTGGGATGACTTCCCAGAGCCTACCAAATGCAGTAGAAGAGCATCTCATTTTCTGGAATCTGCCTTCCCGACGGGACTATTCAGAGATAAATCCTGCAATGACCAAAGCCACTCATGTGTCATCTTGTGGGAGCAGAGTGGCCCAGCACCAGGCATGGATGAGTCCTCTGTATGTGCCTTTCACCTTGCTGGGGGTGGGAATGGCAGAGTATTGCCAGGAGCTGACAGCAAGAAGATGATAATCTGGATCAACAGATTGCCCTTGGGGTGGCCCAGTGACCAGAACTGAGCTATTCCTATCTTGTCAGCAACTCCAGGACTCAGGAGAAAAAAAACTTGGTGTGAAAACCTGAGTGGAGAATGGACAATCAGAAAGGTTTCCAAGGAACACACACAGCATCTCCTCACCTCCCTGGTAACTGCCCAGCCAGCAGAGCCACTCATCAGGTGTGCTGAGCGTGTTCATGCCCAGCTTAATATCCCCATCTATTTATTTCATGTGACTTAATTATTCTGTTTATTGCATATTATATATGACAGCCCCATCTATTTATTACTTTGTGCTTGCCAGCAGGTCAAGCAGTTTGCAGAGCTGGGCATGATTCTGCCTGCAAGTCTCTGCACGTGGCAAGAGACACCCACAGTGATCCAAAGAGCAGAAGGTTTTAGGACCTCCAGTCCAAAGAAAATAAAAATGCTGACAGTCTGGCTGGATTAGGACTCAGTGAGATTAATTTGCAACCTCTGCATCCCCCGCCTTTTAACAGAGAGATAAATATGTTTAAAGGATAAAGCATTGCTCTCTAACCCCAAGCTGACGTCAGTGGAGCAGCTTGTGGGGCTGGAGGGCTGAGCTCAGGGCGTCGATTGTCGTAAGGGACCTCGCGGTGCCACCGCCAGCTGCACTGCGGGGCTCTGCAGTGAGACACCGAGCTTCGTTTGGGGCACCCGGCTCAGGGTTTGCAAAGGCGTTCCCACCCCTGACCTGTATCCGAAGAGCAAAAGGAGCAGAACTCACTTCAGGAAGCAGCAAAGTCAGTCTGTCAGTAGGTTGCCTAATAAAAGGGTGTTAAGAGTAAGAAATTGGCCCTCAGGATTGGAGATGTTGCCATCGATTTGCAACACAATGCTGAGGCTAATGAGGGTGGGTCACATCTGTGTTTAAAACTGCATCTTCAATTAACGCGCTTCGGGTACCTTTTCCCAGTGAGACAAGGTCGGGTTCGTGTCATTTCATCCACAAAATTATGGGAACTGGGAGAGAGTCCTAACCACCGTTTTATATCGCTTCCCAACGGGATCTTTCACCAGGAATCAGCTCGCACACCAAATTAGAGAAGCTGAGGAGCCAAGGACCAGCAGGTCCGGCTGTCACTGGTGCCGGCTGAGACTTGCTGCTCCGGGAGCCCACGAGCCCTGCGGCAAAAGCCTGTTTGGCAGCCTTTTATTTAGGGATGCGTTCTCCCATCAGCCAGGGGACAACCTGCTGGCTCAGCAGGCAGTGGAGTCGGGCACGTCACAGCTTCAATCACCCTCTCCCACCCAAACAGCACGGAATAAAAGTGGTCTCCTCCCCTGGAGGATGTGCACTGAGCATCCCGGTGCCTTCCTCCCCAGTGGTCCCAGCGAGGCACAGCAGGTCCGACTGGGAAGCTGGGCAGGAACAGGGTGGTGACAGCCTTTAGGGTGTCCCACAGCCTGTCACAGGAGCTGGGAAGAGGTCCTGGGGTCTGTGCCCCAGCCCTGGGTCAGGGCAGCCACGGCCCCATTAGGTGAGATGGGACCATCTGACTGCCGGGCAGCATCCCGGGAAAAGCACTGATGGAAAACGCCATCAGCTCACAGGGGAGTGACCCCAGAGTGGTGATTTGTGCTTTTTGGTCTGCACTGTGTTTCCCAGCTCCCCGGGTGCCCCCCAGGCACACCCCGGGGGGAGCAGAGGCAGAAGGGGCCGTGCCATCCCCAACTCCTGGCTGAGGGGCTGTGCCCGGGGTCTCCGATCCCCTCTGGAGACCCCGCGGGAGGATTTGGGGTTTGCTTACTTGTTTATTTATACACCTCCTGGGCCCAGCCACATGTCCCATCTGCAAACACCTCCCACTGCTGGCAGCTGATTTATTTTCATTTCAGCCAGGATTTGGGTCACGGCTTTGTTTCGGGGTTTTGAAAGAGAAAGAAAATGTTCAGGCACAGCAAAGGAGACAAAGCAGTCAGGGAAAAGTCCTCTTGTCCCTATGACAAAATACCAACTGAAGCTGCATATTAATTTAATTTTTTTTTTTTATTCTTGCATTGGGCAAATCATTTCGACAGAAGTGGAAAGGGAATTTAAAAAAAAAAAAAAGAGATGTGTTTAAACAGGATTAACTTAAGCAAGAATTTGTATTACAGAAAGATGCTTACAGAATTTCTTAAAGTCAGAAAAGCAAACAGTATCCTAATCTGATAATCTGATCACCCGATAAAAATTACAAGTCATGTTCTTAGCACAGAAAAAAGTATTTACTGGAAATGGACTGTCTTGAACAAACTGAATAAACAGATTAGGTGAAGAGCATTGCCTAAAAGGACAGTTTTACAGAAAGCTGCTTGGAATGAGGCAGAAGCAACATATTTAGGAAGAAAATGGGGGGGAAAAAGACTGAAATCATTAATTGTTTACTGTAACCCACGTGCCTTCATGCTATTCCAGGGAACTGTAGTGAATGCAAGCTTCTTTTCATAAATAACTTTCATTACATTTTCATTTTGCTTGCTGGCTTTGTTCTCCAGAGAAGAAAGGTTTGGGACAGGAGCTGTGAAGAAGGAGGCAGAGGAACAAACACAACCCTGCTGTGGCTTCCCTGGGAGTCCCTCTGGGAAGGTTCTCCTGGAGGATGGCCAGCACAGGGACATCTGGCATTGAGGAGGAATCTCTGCCAGTCATTTCTGCCACACAAATTCCAGCGACAAATTCTGCTACAAAAACCAACCTGCAACAACATCTGGAAAGGCAGCTCTCCCTCACACTGATTTTCTGCTTTCAGAAACCTCTCGTCGATCTTTTGCCACTTCCAGGTGATGCAGGTTTTCCAGGGAATTTTAAAGGGAGCACAACAGCCTG